TTTTCATGGCTTCTTCAAATGAGGTGGGATCATCCTCCATTTGAAATTCTTCAGTGTTGTACACTTCATAATCAGCAAGAATAGCTGATTTTCTAACTCTTTGAGACCTTCTAGGGGCCTCCTCAGTCGGCACATTTTCTGTTTGAGGCTGTTGTTGCTCCCCCTCATGTGTGGCAATAGTTTCTATAGGATCCTGAGGAACAGGTTCGTCATCATCATTCATTGTTGCCACAGGCGGGATAACAACAGTCTTGGCACCACAAATGTCTTGTACTTTGTCGGTGCAATGAATGAGCAGTAGTGAGAAAAATGGCTCATGAATGATCGGAGTGGGTGCATACACCCGCTTCTCTTCAAGGTCAATTTCTCGAGCTACCATGCTCCCCTAATCATTTCATCCTCTAGGAAGACAAAGTGTCTCTCTTTCCACAAACTTTGTATGTCTGTTAGGACAAGAGAAACGAAAACCTTTTGACTTTTCCGGGTAGCCAATGAAATGGCAACTCACCATTTGGGATCTAGCTTCCCAATGTTTGGGTTAAAAACTTTAGCCTCAAAGGGCTCCCCCCACACAGCAGCAAGTGGTTAAGTGAGGTACTCTTCCCGTCCCACAACTCATACGGTGTTTTGGGCACCGACTTACTTGGTACTCTATTGAGAATATGAATGGCGGTTTTAACGCCTCCATCTACAGACTCATCGGTAAAGTGGAGTAACTTATCATACTACTTTCACCATATCCATCGAGGTACGAGTTCGCCTTTCAGCTACTCCATTCTGCGAGGTTCGCCTGGTGTTGAATCTTTGGGCGACTATACCATTCTCCTATAAGAACCTTGCAAAAGGTCCGTGAACTTGTCCATATGGGGTATGCCGACCGTAGTACTCTCCTCCATGGTCAGACCTGACTATCTTAATCTTTAAATCATGCTGATTTTCAACTTCGCTTTAAATATTTTGAATTTATCCAACGCTTACATTCTTTCTTTAATTGGATAAATATAGCCAAAGCGAGAGTAATCGTCTCTGTGAATGTTATGAATGAATCATAACCATCCACACTTTTCACGAAAAAGGACCACATATATCTGTGTGAATAATCAGAGAATTCCTGCGCTTCGTTTGGCATCTTTCTTAATTTTCTTTACATACTTTCCTTTTATGCAATCTCTACATTGTTCTAAATCTGAGAGCTCTAATGGAGGAAGAATATCATTCTTAACTAGTCTTTCTATTCTCCCCTCGAAATATGGCCTAAACGACAAAGGTGTCATAATTTCGACAACGCATCGTGAGCTCTCTTTCGTTTTCTCATTTTGCATTGTTCGATGAGGATACATTCTCATTCACATCACATATGGAATTCACATTTTCACGATGTGATAACAAATAAAGCTCGTCTTGTCGGAAGGCAAGACCAATACATCTATTATTAAACAATATCTGACATTTGCCATTTCCAAAATGACAATCATAACCATCATGGTCCAACTTTGATACACTAATCAAGTTTCTTTGCAAAGAAGGTACATAAAGAACATATCTCAGAATAAGTATGAAGCCATCAGCAAGCTCTAGCGGAAGATCGCCAACGGCCTCAACATCTGCTTGTACTCCATTTGCGACTTTAATGAAACTTTCGCTTCTTTGCAAAGTTCTCATCGAACGGAATCCTCAGAATGAATTAGCAACATGAATAGTTGCGCTGAATCAATCCACCAAGTAGATTTTGAAAACTTTACATACAAGGATTCATTACTTAACGTAATAATGTTCTCACCTTTATTTTTCATAATCATCTTTAGGAAATCGGGACAATTCTTCTTATAATGTCCCGTCTTCTTCTGATAGAGACACCGGTCTTTATCCACCGGGAACCGCTTGTTCGAGACTGTTGCATGGGACCCTTTCCAGATGACTTGGAGGAAGAGCTGTTGTTATAGTTCTTTTTCTTATCTTTTAGGTAGTTAACAGTACCACCCTGTGAAACTTTTATTCTTTCCTCCTCCTGCACACACATGGCTATGAGCTTTTCTAAATCCCATTTTTCAGGCTGTATGTTGTAATTAACAACAAAGGTGTCAAATTCTTTGGGCAAAGAAGCAAAAATCAAATGAATAAGAAACTCATCCTTGAGTGCCAAATCCATTGGTTTGAGCTTAGATGCCGATTGATCATTCTCAAGATGTGCTCTCTAATGCCACCGCCGCCGCCACAGTACCTTTTTCATTTACAAATGCTTGATCACCGGGTTGCATATAATTTTGAAGAGCCAAGAACCGGCTCTTTATTCTTTCTAGGTACTCTGTGACCGTGTCACGATGCTCGAATTGAGCCCACAATAGTAGGCTCAATCGTGTTCTTTATCACTGCCAAACACTTCTTGTTGGCAGTGACCCATTTCCTATGCTCAAGGTCATAGGACATCTTTACGGGAGCAAAATCCCGCTCTCTGTTGTGCCATGCAGCATCAGTCTCATCTGTCTCCCTCACCGGTGCCACAGGTTCTCTGGGACACGGTGTGGTGACAACCTAGTCCACCTCAGCGAGGATGAAAGCCAGGTCTATCTTTTTCTTCCACTCAATATAGTTATCACCTTTTAGAGTGGGGATCTCTTTGATACAACTCATCAAGTTGTATCCTCCTGAAAACACAATTCAAATAGTGTGAGAACAGAAATAACAACAATAATTGCATGTCTTAGTTTAACGTTGGTCAAAATTAAAACATACAATTATTTTATACATTAAATCTACATCACCGTTGGGCAGAAATAGAAATAATGCATAATCATTATAATATTGCTATTAACAACGTTGGTCAGAAAATAACAATATCATAATCAACTCATATTTATCTCTTGGCTCTTAAAATCAAATTCTCTCGTTAGTTCGAATTTAATTAAAAGTCCATAATTACTTTAAATACGCAGCGGAAAATCATTCAATTTGATGAATTTGACCCACAGGAGAAATTCTCTTTTTCTATTTTCTTTAAGCAATTAATCAATTTCCAGGAAATAAAACTTTTACCGGGAAAAGAAAAAAAAACAAAACTAATTCACTTCTACACTGTTCATTCGGCCCAGCAACCAAAACAGCTCGGCCCGCTTCTTTTCGTCAAGACAGCCGCACCCAGGCCATACTTTGGCCTAGGCCAATAATGTCCGTGTGTCCAGTACCACACTTTGAGGCCACGACTTGGCCCACTCCATCTCGGCCGTTCCTCTCCATCTGACGGCTGCGCGCGCGCATCGGAGGATCAAAAACGGCGACCGCCATGGCGCCCTTGAACCCTAGCGCCATTCGGCCTCCTCCACTCTCTGTCTTCACCGCTCTCTTTCCTCAGCGCAGCCAACGTAGCACCGAGCGACTCAAGCGGCGAATCGGTGGAGCCTTGACGCTGTTGCCGGCCCCTCGTCGGCGTCTTCTCCCTGGTGAGCTGCCGCGCCCGAGCCAGCGGCTCGGGCCAGCAACACCCCAATGGCCTGTTCCGGCAAGGAGTGCCCCGAGCCGGCCTTTCTCTTCCCCCGCACGCTTGGCGTGGATCAGAGTGCTGCCTGCATAATGGCGAGGTAGGCCACCCTCTTACCTTTCTTCCCCTTTCTTTTGATTCTTTTGTTCGATTTCATCCGCTTTCATGATTAGGGTTAGGGTTGGGGTTTGGGATGGCCACTGTTTTTCTTTTCCCGAATCGATTTCGGGTTTTAGGGTTTGGTTTTGTCATGAAAACGAGCCCTCAATTTTTCTTTAACCCAGTTAGGGTTAGGATTCATCCGAACCCACTGCTTTTCTCAGATTCGAAAGGACCAAGTTTAGGGTTCAACCGAACCCTTTGTCGGCCGAAGCCCTTTCTACTTTCTAGATCCGCACTAGATCTCTTCATCTTTTCCTTTTCTAATCGATTTATCCGTTCTAGATCAAAACCCTAGCCATATCTATACCTAAACCGTGGCTCGGTACCATTGTTATAATCAGAGGATCATAGATCTAGCCTTTGACTGTTCTATTCGGTTATAACATGTAAAACGGTAGATCCTAGGACATGTAGAACGGTCTCTGAGAGAGATAGGGAGAGAAAAGGAAGGGTACCAACCCGAGACCGCAGGGTGGAGGATCCAGAGCCTCCATCGGGTTCGTCGATGTAGGTCAGGCGCCTGGCAAGCGACGGGTCGGTGAAGAGAGGCGACGCAGATGGAGACGGTGATGCAAAGGCATGGCGATGGGATGACGGTGATGACGGTGGTGGCTTCCGTCATTCGGGTCTGCGCGCCCTCTTCGAGATCGGAATTAGGGTTTGTCGGTGGGAGTACAGCTCACGGTGAACCTCGTACCTCGAGCCGCCGGCCCCCACCTCTTTATATAGCGCAGTGCGACGGGGGCCCACCAACCATGTAGGGTTGGGCGCCTCCGATCAGGGCGCGTGACCAAGGCCCAATAGGCCGTTGGGCTTATTGGTTGGGAGATCACTCTAACAAGGCGAACGCGTGGGGTGGTCGGCCCTTGAACGCGGGCCTTGCGAGCGCAAGCGCGGGGCCACGGGCGAGGGCGGCGGAGGTCGCGGATGCGCCGTGCCTCATCGCGGAGCGCAGGGGGTGGGCTCACGCCGCTGCACATCGGGTACGGCCGCTGGCGCCTGCGCGCATGCGGCCTTCTTGAGCTGGCGCGCCACCCGGAGGCCCCGACGGCGGGCCACACGCCACCTGAGCTGGTCCAGTCGGAGGTGCTCGCCAGACGCCATTGAGCTGGTCAGTGCTCGCCAGGCAAGTGGCGGGAGTACCTGGTGGAGTGGCGCGACGGCGGCGAGAGGGCCTACGCGAGTTCATCTCCGAGATGGGGAAGCCACCCACCGCCCGCCGGGATCTTGGCTGGGAGAGCCGTCGTGCCCTCTGGCCTCCGACGAGCGCCACACGACGCGCTGCCCGAGCCCGCGGGCGTTCGCTGGAGCCCGAGCCCGCGAGCGCAGCACGGCCACGGCGGAGAGGAGGCGCCCGCGGTAGTCATGGCAGAGCGCGAGGAGGCACCCGCCGGTGGAGGCGTGCCCCGTGATGGTGGCGATGGTGGGCATGGGCAGCGCGAGGAGGTCGGCGGCGAGGGCGGAGCGCGTCCGCGAGCTCGCTGAGGCGCGTGCGGGAGGTGCTCGCCCACCCGATGTCCAGGCTATTGGAGAATAAGCAGCCCTCACCGACGGTGACGAGCGCGCACCCGGTCCCCGCCTTGGCCGCGGCTTTCGTGGCGGAGGCGACGGCGGAGCGGAGCGAGGAGATGAGGGCGTGGCCCAGCCGGTGCTCGCCGTCGCCGGTGAGGGTGAGGACGAAGACGCGGCCGCGCTGCTGCAGGGTGCACATCGTGCCGGCGGATGAGGATTGGGGTGGCTCTCGCGGTCCGAGGGCGTCTTGCCGGAGCCGAGGGCGGCGGAGTTCGGGCACGACGCCGGTGGAGGACGAGCTGCAGCCACGTCCCGGCCGGCGTCGGGAAGAGAACAGAAAGAGAGAAGGTTTGGGTGGCTGACAAACGGGCCCCACTATATGGCAAAATAGTCATTTCATCTGTCTGTTTGACAGCGTTAAAGGCAAAATTGGACGGAATGGCTTGGAAGAAAAAAAAGTCATGGCACAGAGGTCCGCTCTAACTTTTTAGTGGCATTGAGGAAGGGACCATTTTTCTTAATAGCACACATGGAAAAACCTCTGGGCCGCCTTGCATCGCCCTAGGGTGTAGTCATGTGAGGCAAGTTGTCGTTTAAGTGGTGAACATCAAGGAGCCGAGGCGAGGGCCATCCCCCCGCCTAACAATACAAACTTTTTTATAATATATATAGACTTTAATAGTCTATGTTTATATTAAAAGGGTATAATAAATAAAATCTTGTTATATATGTCTACTAATATCCTCTAGACAACACAATTGAATATAATACATTTACAATAAATATTTTGATTTATCTAAATTTGTTCGACTACAATATTAGGAGATATATATCTATTGAAATTTTTGGTTCTACTAGAATACTTATGTTTCATTATACTCGCATACTTGACTAGCAATAACAATTCGGTGATCATCTCTTTTTATTGTGAATCGCATTATAGATGTAGACGCTCGCATAACACTCACTTCTATGAACAAACATACATCCTACTCCACTATGATCACTTTTGAAATACTAAGACAATAGATTTTAGGATTCACGAGTCATCACATGCACCGCATTGTCGACATAATGGTCACCTACCACGGGTATGAGTAATTTCTAAATACTAAACCGGTAGATTTTAATATTCATTAATCATCATATGCACCCCAATGTTGACTGACACGGTCGTCTACCATGGGAAAAATAGCCAACATGTTAAAATCATCAAATACTAGAATAAATTCAGAAAAATATAGCTTAACCTCGGAGCAAAAATCTAATCAATTAAGCTACACTAAGTTCTCATATGTTGGAACTCTTTGACCGCCCCCCCCCCCTATGCATAATTCCTGGCTCCGCCACTGGTGGTGAAGTCAATGCAGTGGCTTGCAGTGTGGTGGCAGTGTTCAACGTATGCATTTGGTGACCTTTGGTGGCCAACGACGGCTAGGGTAGAGGCAGCTCTAGGCCTAGTGTGATAGCGAGAGGTCTTGCTGAGCAATGTCTTGGTCGGTGCGGCAATATTGCCTTGCTAGAGGCAGCTCACCGCGGTGAATCACATGGCGGTGGCTAGTTTAATGTGGTTGCGGTAACCTTTTTTGCCTGGTGGGGGTGATGGAAAAGTTTGGGTAAAAGCCCTACTCAGATGATGCCTACAAGGGTGACACTAGTAGTGCCACATCCCTTGTTGGAGGCATTGTCATAAAGCCCTCACCCTTTTGGTGTTTTTTCTTCAATTGAAAACCTTGCAATGAAGATCCTAGAACGGCGGCAACTACGGACGCCATGCCCTCCTTGGAGGCATCTCATTGGAGAATCCTCCACCCCCACCTTTGTGCTTGTTGCCATGACCAGCAATGGCCATGATGACCGCAACACATTGGTTGGCTTGGGGATGGCAACAATATATAGTGGTGGATGTCTTCAACGCTGGGTCTACAATGGTGCTACATGTGGTGACTCAGGGTTCTAGTAGCACCGGAGCTAGAGTTGGACTACGGGCTAGCGCAGCAGCGTCTGGTTACTATTGTGCGGTGGCTAGGCAGTGTACCTGCCATATGTAGTAGGCGGCGGTTCTTTTGGGTTCGTTATCATGTTCGTGTGACAGTAGATGCCAATGTAGGGTTTTTTCTTGTGATTGTCGTGGAGGCTGTTGGGTTGAACTTTGTCATTATAACTATTTTCGTGTCATCGTTGTGTTTTTTCTGGTACTTTCTCTTGCTCTATTAATAATATTGTTCTTCACAGAATAGATTATTTAGTTTGGAAAGATATAAGTCATAAGCGTATATTTTTGTATTTGAAAATGCTTACAAAATCTTATAAATTTGAAGGGTTCAGACTATATTCTAGAAGAAATTAAAGGTCAAAGATGTGAGACCAAGTAAAAGTAAAATGTGACAAGTATTTACGATTGAGATAGTGTATCAACAGATGATCACTAGATGAAACCATTCAGTTAATTAATTAATTCATATATAGATCTGATGGAGGTCACGAGATCGGATCACCGAGCACATGTTTCTCTGGCTCCCTGCAAATGGAATCAATAATAAGTGCATCAATCCTTAATTCCATATCTCTTGGAGCACTCTCTTTCTTTTTTAAGAAAAATCTACATAACCCCAAACTATTCAGATCGGACTACTTCACCCCCAAACTATAAAATTGGATTTCTACCTTTAAACTTTCTAAAACCGGTCAAATAACCCCAAGCGGTTTTGGACGGTGGTTTGCTACAGATGGATGGGTTTTGTCTTATTTATTTATTTATTTCCGCTAAATCTTTGAAAAATTATAGTAAATAATAGAAAAATCATAAAATAGAATATCCAATTTTGTTGGACTCTACATGAGTAGATCTATAGAGTGAACATTGTCGACGAAATATGGTCGGCAGTCCACCAAGAGGGGTGCCCGTGGTGGTAGATTATCGGTAGGATGCGCGTAATTAGGAACCAGATGGTGACACAAGGCGCAGAGACAACGATTTAGACAGGTTTGGGCCGTCTGATCGACGTAATACCCTACGTCCTGTGTCTTTGGTGTATTGTATTGATGATGTATACAGATTAACCCGTCCTCTGGGGGACCCTTGTCTCTCCTTATATACTCCGAAGAGACAAGGTTACAAGTAAAGTATCCAATTTGGTACTATCACAATATCTATTACAACTTGTAATCTTGATGTGCACGCCTTGATCTTACGGGTGGGGCCACCTCGGATGGTGTGGCCCATGTACCATCTTAATGGTACCCGGGGGTATATCCCCCACAGCTAGTCCTCGAGCGCCATGTATTCTGATGCGACACGCCATTTTAACCTTCTCCGAACAGTGAGGCTTGAGTTCTTGACATCTCCGACCACCGTTATCGCCGGAGAAGTAGGTTGTCCGAAGAATGTATGGTGCTCTTAAGAAGAAAGAAAAAGATTTCCGTCCTGGGAAGTGTGCCCACTTGTATTTCTGAAAAGAAATGTAAGTGCATCTTGAAGCGTAGCATCTTTGATCATCGGATCGAGCACATTCACCGTAAGGGTGAAGTGTGCCCACTTAGTCCCCGAGCACGGTAGTAGGTGGCGTGAGGCACGTGGTGCGGGGTCTAAAAAATTCTCGCTTAAGTTGAGAATCCAATCGTCGACAAAGCGATACGAGATGCACCGGCAGTGCATCGTATCGATGTAGTCCCCGAGCTTCTTTGGAAGGCGAGGTATGAGCCTTGTAGCAAGGTCTAAGTGAGAAAAAATATCCCAAGCTGTGCACGAGTCGCCCGATGCATGTAGTCGAGACGCAAAGTCCCCTGTGGTCGTGGTCGGAGAGTGGTCGAGGCGGTCCCCGAGCACAGTGTCGAGGAGCGTCATGACGAAGTCCCCGAGCCATGGTCGGAGAGTGATCGAGGTAGTCCCGAGCACAGGTCGAGGAGCGGCGGCACGAAGTCCCCGAGCCGTGGTCGGAGAGTGATCGAGGCGCTTCGAGCACAGTGTCGGAGGCGAGCGACGAAGTCCCCAGAAGCCGTGGTCGGAGAGTGATCGAGGCGATCCCGAGCGTGTGAGTCGAGGAGCGAGCGACGAAGTCCCCGAGCATAGAAAGAAATTCCTGCAATATAAATATGTAGAATGGTAGTACATGATGTACAAAATAATAAATTATGGAGAAAAAATCAGCAGTGAAGAAACAACGCTCAGCAGTCATTTGCAAATGAGCATGATGTGATAAAGCGATCGGTGCTTTGTAAACATCAGTGTTAGCACAGAGAAGTTTGTGTTTATACTTAATATAAACGCCCTGACCCGATTACTATGTAGTTGAGTCTCCAGCCCTAGTTAGCCCGTTAACCATAACGCGGGGCGCGGAGCCCGCTGCACGTAGGAAGAACAAAGCGTCGCTAAGGAGCCGCTGCCGACCACCCATAACGCAGAGGGGCGACGGCGGCTGCGTGCGCGTGTAGGGAGGAGCCGAGAGATGTGGCCTTTTCTCGAAACATCGAAAGCGTCAACATAATCGGTCGAGGATTTGCATTAAGTATAGTAGTATATGTTATATTTAAGATGGTATACATGGACAAACATTATTTGAAGAATAATTATGACAAGGACGTTGTGGAGAAACGTCGTAATGAAAATTATATTAAATATAAATATTAGAAGTGTACTTATCTTTGGATAGAAATCTGGTCGGTGGCGATGAAGTTATCCGGTCCTTGAGCTTTTCGGCTGTTGTGACGTTGGTCGCGGTTGTCATAGCGCCGTTCTTCGTGGCGATCATCATTGCGATGTGGTCTGGTGGTCGAGGTGGTCGGAGCTCGACGGAGTCGCTCGGGACGTGGTCTGGTGGTCGGAGCTCGGCGGAGTCGCTTTCGGGGCGTGGTCTCGGTGGTCGAAGCTCAGCGAGCCGCTTTCGGGGCGTGGTCGACGTGGTCGTAGTCGGCGTGAGCTCGGCGGAACTGCTTAGGGCGTGGTCGGCGTGGTCTCGGACGGCTTGTTCAACGACTTCGGAGGGCTTGCCGACATCGTGCACAGATGGACGCACGCATACTTCACGCGTACATATGAGTACATGCACAAATCGCCTAGCTTTTGTGTCTTGCGGCTGGCATGCGTTAGGCTGCCGATTGTCCATGTTTCCGTAGAGGTGATGTCGACCAAGTGATCAAAATATGCCATCGTGGAAGAAATAGCGACGTCCTATCCATGGATTGCTGGAGCAGGAGTCC